TTTTTTTTTTTTTTTTTTTTTTTTTTTTTTTTTTTTTTTTTTTTTTTTTTACATTTTGAAAAAGACAAGCGTGGGAGAGGTGGAGGCTTAGGATTTCTCCAAACAACCATTTTCTAAAATCTAATCATTAATACAGTGCCAAGAACAATTAAAATATCTACCATATTCAACAACCAAACGGCGTCGTCTTACGTTGATAACATCTTTGGCTTGTTTTAGCTATAATGAGAATCAATATAATAACTTCTAATAAAAAGTTAATATAAATTAAAGTATATTATAATATTGATTAAAAACATTTAATTTAGCTCAATTGTTATAACCTAAACTTAATTAAGGTATTATATAGTAAAAAAAATATATATACTAATTCACAACTAAGGAAAATACAACATATTAATTAAAAAAAGATATCGGTTGATCGGATCAATTTGAACATCCTCAAACTTCGATGAGGACCCTAACCAACCCGAACCATAAACTGACCGCCGAAGTTGGTAAGAATTGGATTCGATCAGTCAAATAAAATCAATCCTAATGTCTAGTATCCAAAGAAATCGACGACTTTATATAAACTTCAAAATGTCTTTAGATACCTAAAAGAACTCGGAAACCTAATTCATTCATTAAATTCTACCAATTTATCGGTGCGATTATTAATCGAGAGAGATTTAAATCTTTATTTAGATAAGAAAATCAGCCTATTAATTAAAAGAATCATAAAAAAGAGGTTAAATGAAGAAAGTTTTGGAAAAATGGAAATTATGTGTGACATTAGGCTTTTAGCATTTGGCTATAAGTGAGTAACATATCTTTCCATATTTGCCAACTGTCATTTATTAAGCTGATTTTCTTCTTTATTCGGTAAATATCATTAATAATTTATTTTATATTTTTTTTTATAGGTAATATCATATCCTCAGACCATTATTTATATTAACTAATATAAATACTGCTTCCATTGGCTTACAACCTTCATATCCTTTCCTTTCTTTATGTTTACACTTTCAACCATTTTGTTCTTTGTTCTTGATTTGAAGATCTTGTGTAGGAAGAAAGGCACGGATGAGCATTCTTGTTCTCAAATGATTTTGAGACGAAATCTCGGTTTTATCTAATATTCGTCTTTACGTGTTTTCTTGTACCTTTTTTTGCATGGTTTTTAATGTTGTTTGTTCGGAAGTGGAGATTTTAAAAGTATAGTTACCGTCATAACAACGGCGTAAATTAACGATTTTACATTCACGTGAAACCTGACGTATATAAGGAGCATGTTGAAGTTTGAACCGTTGCTAAAGACTTTCAATTGCATTAATAGATGATGATGCAACTACTACCGTCTCATTGTTGACAATAGGAGCTGTAGCATTGGTTTTGAACCTGTGAATTTGGCAACTTCTCGTAAGCTACAACTTCATCGTATATGTTTAATGTTTGTTTTGTTGCTATATATATTTTATTTTGAGCCATTTTTAATACTTAAAAATTCATATATATTATTTAATTTTTTTAATTTTTACTAATTTCTTTATTTTTAATTGTTGCAGTGGTGAGAAATTAAATGTGACAATTTTATGACACAACATTTGAGCTCAGAGAATTCTGCCATGGTTAAAGGTGACAATTTTATGGCACAACATTTAAGCTTTGAGAATTTTTCTCGATCTCAAAGTGGACAATAGTATAGCATTGTGAAGAGTGGACAATATTTACGACTTCTTTCAAAACTATATCACTATCTAAGTCGGCCATGGAGACAATATTCAACTGTTGTGTTTATGGAGTCATTTCTAGATGACTAACATAAACCCAACAAATTTTATGCTGAGTTCAACAATTGAGGTCCGGGCATAGGTGTGACATGCAAAGTTTATAGACATCAAAAGAGTGGCTTCTCATTTCAAAATTGCAGCATAATGGCCGATCAAGAAATGAACATCCTTGGAGAGACTTTTCAACGCCAACCATTTTTTAATTTTGGGGTCGCTCTTGCAAAATGGTCAACGTAGCGAACTAAGTGGGCTCTAAACTTAATATCCCAGGGTTACCAGAAACTGGTGTACCCTTTAGACGTGTGAGATGGTCTTATAAGAGGGATTAGGAGACAATGTAAGTATCGTTTATTGAAAATTCAAACGGATAGGTTTATTGCTATTGTATTAATCAATGGTTACATGGGAATGAACTATTACATTTAATGAGATTAGTCATTGCTAAAATAAGATTCAATAAATTCCATGAAGTGTAGTAACGAGACCGCCATTCACGAGGGACAGGGATATCTTCATAATTTTCCACACACTGACTTACGTATTTTTCCATATTGGTTGTCGGCAATTGATACACGTCTATCCTCGTTTGTGTTAGCAGTATCTGCATCGACTTTTGCAAATCATTCGTTCCTCTTTCAAAGTTATCCAAACATGTTTCAAACATGTCTCTTTTTTCACCAACAAATCCCCCGGAATTGATCTCTCTTTTAAGAAACACGATATTGTCGTTAAAATTACTGATACTATGATTCACGAATATGGTTAGAAGACCTATCATACTTGACTTCAAATCTTCACGATGATCCGAATCAACCTCAGAAATGCACACCTTGGAGACTCCATTATATTGAAGCTTGTTGCAAATATTATGAGTAAAGCTCTCGTTTGCTCCGACTAACATCGAGAGGCTGAAAAGAGATAACAAAACAAGAGTAAAAGTCATTAGAATTGGAGAGGAAGAAGACATGTTCTTCATGTTTGACAAAAATTATACGAACATAACGGTAATTTATAGGGTAAAACTAATGAATTTCGTAACCTTTGTTTGGAAATGTCATTAAACTCAGAAATTGATGATTATTATTCACATTATTAGGTTAGTAGCATTTGGAAAGAATCGAGTAACATATCTTCTTCATATTGCAAAGGTCATTCATATAATTAATATCATTACTGGGTTACCTTAATCAAAATTTTGAGTATTTTTTTTAATTATGTTCAGTGTTTTAATTCAGTGTATCAGTTGTGTGGTAGATGTGTTCATTTAACGTATCGAACAAGAGCTCTATAGGAATCTGCCCCAAACTTTCGGTTGAATCACATTTAAACGAGGGATATTTATTTTTTTTATACATAAAATTATTATTAAAATTAAACTTTTTAGAAATTATATTTCATATTATATTTGTACTTATTAAATATTATTTGATTTAGGAGAGTGAAAAGTCTTTTACGTCCTCACCCGTGGACACCCAGCTGGCTAGCAAGAATCCTACTTTTTCTGAAAAAGGCCCATGCTTGTAACCAAGCAAAGCCCATTATAGAGAATTTAGGTCCAATAATATTCCCAGTCAAAGGCCCAGAACTAGGCCCACGTAAGTAATTGAAGATTTTATTTTTTATAATTTAATTTGTATGTTTTTTTTTTTTTTTTCTAGAAATTTGGTATCTTATCCTATTCCGTGAAGCATATACTTTTGAACACAAAAAAGAAAAGCTAACTGAACCATGGTTAGGATTAACCCTGGATTGGTTATTAAAATCATTGACCGAGTTTGGGAAAAGAGATTCTCTCTAAATCTACGGTTTCTTCTCCGCAACGTGGACGGTTAGATTTCCTCTCATCCTCCACATGCTTCGTTGTTAGGTTAAAATTAGGGTTGCGTTTCGATTCCATTCCACAAATTTCTTTCTGCGGAAGAATATTTCTTCTCATCTCCCTCTTCAAAGCCCCCGGAAATCTGGTTTTTCAATTCTCTTCTCCTTTTCAAGGCTCTTCTTTTTTCTGCGAGATCATGGAGATGGAGCGCATGATCGAGTTTCCTCACACACATCTTGATCGCAGGCCCCGAAAGAGGGCTCGCTTGGGCTGGGACGTTGTCCCCGAGGCCGCTAAGGTATAATCTCCGATCCTCTCTTTCAGATCTGATTTTTATGTTGATTTTTGTTTTGTAGAGCTACATCTTCTGGGTTTTTCTTTGATTAGGTATGTTTGTGTCGCACACCGGGGTATAATCTTTTTGTTATTAGATTTACCTTGGTTGATTTACGTTTTTTTTTAAATTTTTTGTGATTCAGTATTCTCGATAGGTTCTATGAGTCGAGGTTATTTTCTTGAAGTTTATTTACTGATCTGTTGTGTTAACGTATTTTTATTTTATTTGTAAGCTCAAAAGAAGATCAGGTAAGTATTGTTCTTTATTCAGATGGATGGTTAACTCCGAATTGTCTCTTCATATTGATTATCTGTTATTGATCCATTCCACAATTTGTTTTACTTAGGGGTCTCCCTTTATTTTATACCTCGTACATGTCTGTCTACCATGCATCTGGCTTATATGTATATTTTTTTTCATTTTTCCAACAAAATCTTATAATTTCTTGTGTTATACAAAATGAAGACTTTGGGTGAGGATATTAGGTTTAGGAAGGGCAAACTTTTACATGAATGGGTGACTGTGTGTAGGCTCAGGTAGGAATTTGTTGTGGACAAGAGATTGCGAATATGCCAAGCTTTGCATCTTCAAGAGCACCTTCAGATCATTCTTCTAATCCACTATTTGTTAAGGGAGTGGCTCGAAATGGTTCTCCCCCCTGGCGAGAAGATGACAAAGATGGACATTACATGTTTGCGCTTGGAGAAAATTTAACTTCTCGCTGTAATTACACTTGACTATGATTAGACAAATTTTTATGCGTTATCAAAATTGATCAATGTAGAAATTTGCTCGTATAATTTAGTTCCTCATCTCATTTTAAATGTTTGCTATATCCTCAAATTTTGCATCCTCCCATAAATTGTATTTAAAATAATATCCATCATGATCACCCATGTTTATTTAATTTTAAACTGAACATTCAGCCATTAGTTATGGTTTTTTTTTCTTTTCATAATTATCACTTTTTTAGAATGGTGGAAGGCTGGTGAGATTTTGGGAAATATCTATTTCCTTACTCTGTCAATTCTTTTTCTTCTGTGGCAGATAAAATACACAGCAAAATGGGAGAAGGTACTTTTGGACAGGTGTTGGAATGCTGGGACAGAGAAAGGAAGGAAATGGTTGCAATAAAAATTGTGCGTGGAATCAGGAAATATCGTGATGCAGCTATGATAGAAATTGAAGTGTTGCAACAGCTTGGAAAGCATGATAAAGGTGGCAACCGGTGAGTCTGTCTCTCCTTTATGCCATTGTTGTCACTCTGTGACTTTTGTCATCTTTGTGGCTATGGTTAAATTGCTCTATTCCTTGCAGTTGTGTTCAAATACGGAACTGGTTTGACTATCGTAACCATATTTGTATTGTAAGTATAAGGCTGTTTTATCATGGATTAATTTCCCCGATTCACCAAATATGGGGAGTTAAAATTTGTGGGTGAACTTAAATGGTGTCAACAGGTGTTTGAGAAGCTTGGGCCAAGCTTATACGATTTTCTACGGAAAAACAATTATCGCTCCTTTCCCATTGACCTAGTTCGTGACATTGGCAGACAACTGTTGGAATGTGTAGCATGTGTGTAGTATTTTATTGAACCAAGTCCTTTCTTTTCCCATTCTTATTGTCCTTTTGTGTGTCACAAAACATTAACTCCACAGATTTCTTTAAGCTAAAATGACTATTTGCATCTGCTGCATGTTCCATTTTTGTAATTTCATTTAAATGGTATGATGAGTCGGTCTCCTTTTATTTTGTGTCTTGTATCCTAATAATTTCTTTGACCTTTGAATTGCAGTCATGCATGATCTACGAATGATACATACTGACTTGAAGCCAGAGAATATACTGTTGGTCTCTGCAGATTATATGAAAGTACATGACTACAAGGTACTTATAGCTTGTTTTGGATCTTGTTTGTAATCTGTATTTCTGGTGGTTCTTATTGTGAAAGACCAATTACCAGCTAAATGAAGTTCTTGTTACTCATTATTTATGCTTGTGTCAGAATTTTTCTCGATCACCAAGGGATAGTTCCAACTTCAAAAGAGTGCCCAAGTCAAGTTTTATTAAGGTGATTGATTTTGGCAGCACCACTTATGATCGTCAAGATCAGAATTACATTGTATCAACCCGGCATTATAGAGCTCCAGAGGTTATTCTTGGTAAGGAATTTTGATCATGTTTCATAGTTCACTTCTCGATTTTTCTGATTTGTGTTAGAGTGGCATGGCTTAACCACGTTTATCTTTTAGGTATTGGATGGAGTTTTCCTTGTGATATATGGAGTGTTGGCTGTATCCTTGTTGAACTGTGCTCGGTATGTGCTTCTTTTGTCTTGTAATTTGTCTATTTCAATATATCCTTTTTTTGTCTATTCATCCAAGTGTTGTATTGTGTAATGTAATTTTCAATACAAAATATTTTTTAGGGTGAAGCACTGTTTCAAACTCATGAGAATTTGGAGCACTTGGCAATGATGGAGCGGGTGCTTGGTCCACTGCCGCAAGAGATGCTGAAAAGAGTAGAGTGAGTTATTTCTCATCTTTTATTTTCTTGGTGTTGAGTCGTCAAGAATCAAAATTCTGATTTTTTTGTTTTTTTGAATGTTTCCTTAGTCGGCATGCTGAAAAATACGTAAGAAGAGGTAGATTAGATTGGCCGGAAGGTGCTACTTCGAGGGATAGTATCAAGGCCGTTCAAAAGCTGCTCCGTTTACCGGTTTGTATTTTTATTAGTGTCTTATTTGTTTGATTGGACTGAACCTTTTTGTCGCCACTTCACACTAATTATCTTTTGAAATCGAATGCAGAACCTGATAATGCAGCATGTGGACCATTCGGCTGGGGAATTAATTCATCTCGTGCAAGGGTTGCTTCGATATGATCCCACACATAGACTAACGGCTCGTGAAGCCCTAAGGCACCCGTTCTTTACAAGGGATCCCTTGAGGAGATAGTAGCTGTGCTGTGTTTAATTAACGAACTGGTATTTGGTTTTATTTTTCAAACACCCAACGTCTTCATGCAACTGTACAGCTGCGTGTCTGTTGATCGATGATGGTGATGTGCCTTTGTATGGTGATGTGCCTTTGTATGATGATGTGCCTTTGTATGGCTCTAAGAGACCGAGTATTTTGCCGTGATGTTGTAAATAGATACGCTGACTCCTATCAGAGGCTTGCAATTCAAGCACTATTTGTGCTTAATTGCAGTTCAGTTGATTACTAATGTTTTAACTTGTTTAGAAGAATATACACTAACATTTTATAACATTTGCCGTCCATTCCTTCAAGATTATCATAAAAGACTATTGGAATTGTGATACATAATTTTATTAATTTTTGTGAGTTACTATAGTGAAAATGTATTCCAAAAACGTTAATAGAATCTTAAACTCCTTGAATTGTTGATTTTGAATAAAAAGTATCGTTCATAAAGGCTTGCTCATTTACAATTTTGTATGTTCAGAGATATTTATGTTCTTAACCAAACGACTTGGTAACCAAATGTGTATTTCCACGAGTTCCCTTGGTGAGAAGATATTAAATACTTCGTTTTTCTCAAATAATTATTCTTGTTTTAATTCGACGTACTTCAGAACCATCTTCGGATTGAGTTCAAACTGAACTTCCTTCATCTAAGCTCGTGCTTGTTTGGATGGGTTATCATAAATTGGTTTGCTTGACTCACTTGGTGTTAGGAAAGTAAATGTAGATCCTTTAGATCTAATCAACTAGAAACGTGCAATTGTGGCAAGAGAGATTTAGAACACCAACAAACTAAAAATTTTTCATTTTATTTTCGTATCTATTTAATGATAGTGTTTCCCTTGTAAGGTATACATGGAATTGAAATTGGGGAAAGATCATCCTTTTTTTTTTTTTGAAAGAAATATACGCCTCAGTTGGGTTCTCTAATAAGTTACCTTCCAAAACAATGAATTTGGTCGTTTTCATTCAACAAATTAAAACCCATTCTCTTTATCTTATCATCCATAACCAGCAAATCATCATCTGTCTACAAATTCCCTCGTAAATCTATATATTTATGGCCACTGTTACCAAATAAAGTGTTTTCCTTTGAACAAAAGGCTAATAACAATGTTTGGTCAAATGGTAATATCTTTGTAAAAAAAGTAGCAAACATATAACGTTATAATCTGAGAGGTTTGCATCCTCGCGGCTGTTTTTGGTGAATAAAAACAAAATGCTTTTAACTCTAATATGTCATACATTTACAACAAAAAAAAGTTAGATGTTCGAATTTAGTTTTACATTGAAAAGCTTAACCTAAACATAATTTATGTGATACTCGAGTAAATGAGAGGTACATGAATGAATCGGGACTATATTCCAATGAAAGGAATTCTGAAGACAGGATAAAGAAAAACTTAAGAGAATTGAAAGTCACAACCTATATCAATAAGGTACATCTTCTTTTCGATAACCCAATCACATGAACTCTATGATTATCTTACATGAAAAATAGGAGAAGGTTAAAACAATCAAATTCCAAATTTAAAATTTGAATCTTGGAACATGGGTGGTTATAATGATTTACCTCATATCTTTATAACTAAAACGAAAAAAAAAAAAAAAAAAAAATCAAAATTTAACCATCAATCCATTTTTACCCCAAACTTAGTAAATTTATTGGTTCCAAGGTTACCATATAAGTTAGAAAATGACACTCTTAACGCGATGTATCGGTAAAAATTTGGATTATTTAGCATGCGGTGGCACCGCCGGAGTTGGAAAATGAATCGGCCTAATCTCTCTGCTGTCCTCACCGCCTCATCTCCACCGATGCCAACATTATCATATATAAATACAATTCTTTTTTCCCCCTTCTGAACAATCATGCAATGAACTAAGATCATGATTTATCTTTCTCATTTAGATAACTTACAACATCCATATGTTTTTTTCAAAATAAAATTTATAATGTGAGACGGTTGTTGATACGTAATGAGTCAAAACGAATAATATCTATTAGTGGTAAGTTTGGGTCGTTACAAATGGTATCAGAAGCCAAACAGTGATGTGCCAACAAGGATATTGACCTTTAAAGAAGTGGATTGTGAGATCCCACCTTAGCCGGAGTGGAAAACAGAACACTCTTTTTAGTAGACGTGTTTTAAAACCGTAAAGCTTATGATGATAGGTAATGGGCCAAAAAGATGGTTTGCCAACAAGATGTGATAGTATGTAATGGTATCAAAAGCCAAACAACAGGTGGTGTGCCAATAAGAGCGTTAGCCCCCAGGGTGAATTGTGAGATCTCCCATTAGTTGGGGTGGGAAACGAAACATTTCTTATAAGGGTGTAGAATCCCATTAGTTGGGGTGGGAAACGAAACATTTCTTATAAGGGTGTAGAATCTAGTAGACACATTCAAAATAGAGTGAGGCTGATAGCAATATACAATAGGTCAAAATGAACAATATTACCCAACACGTTTTGTATCTAATAGATCCTAAAAGTTTATGTTTAATATATTAATGAACTTTAAAAGTATCTGAATGTCCTTAAACATACGTATCAGATTGAGTTGAAAGTTGAGAGATTAAACAAATATAAAACTACCCGATCGAGATAGCCTTTTTATCTCCCTCCGAGATTATAAATATAGCATAGGTGTAGTACCATACCCTATAGAGAATCAATGGATCCAATATCCTACAAAAATGTTCATCAACTTTTGCACCAAATCACTCAAGCTCCTCTTCCTCTTTTCCTCTTCCTCTTCCTCTTCCTCTTCCTACTTTCACTCAAACTCTTCTCCACCAAAAGCACCAAAGCCTTACCACCATCACCACCACAGCTTCCAATAATTGGCAACCTCCACCAGCTAGGCAGCCTCCCACACCGCTCAGTGGCATCTCTGTCCGAAAAATATGGCCCTCTCATGCTCCTCAAGCTCGGCCAAACCCCAACCCTCGTCGTCTCATCCGCAAAGCTAGCTAGAGAAGTCATGAGGTCCCATGACACCATCTTCTCAAACAGATACCAAAACAAAGCTGCACAATCCTTAATCTATGGATGCCATGATGTGGCCTTTGCTTCCTATGGAGAGCAATGGAGACAGGCCAGAAAGCTCTGTGTTTTGGAGCTTTTGAGTGCCAAAAGAGTTGAGTGTTTTCAATATGTGAGAGATGAGGAAGTTGGTGAGCTTGTCAAGAAGATTCGTAAAGGTTGTGGCTTTGGAGATTCAGGGGTGAATCTTAACCAGGTTTTGATGTCAACTTCGAATAATATTGTGTCGAGATGCGTTTTGGGAGAGAAACTTGAGAATGGAAAAGGGATGAGTGGGTTTGGAGATGTGACGAGGAAGGTTATGGTGTTGTTGTCGGCGTTTTGTGTTGGTGATGCGTTGCCTTGGCTTGGATGGGTTGATGTGGTGAGGGGGTTCCATCGGGAACTCAAGAACACTTTTGAAGCGTTGGATGGGCTGTTTGATAGAGTGATTGATGAACATAGAGAGAAGATGAAGAACAGTGATCGATCTGGGGAGATGGATTTTGTTGATATCATTCTACAATTGCAACAACGGGATACTCTTGATTATCGTTTCACTATGAACGATTACAAAGCAATTTTACTGGTTTTGTTCCTCTTCTCCTCTCTCCCTAACCGTTCAAGCTCACTGTTAGTCGATATGGTTCTCTTTGAGCTTTTCTTTCTGGGTTTTCCCTCAAGGTTTTAAAACGTGTCTCCTAGAGAAAAGTTTCCATATCATTATAAGGAATGTTACGTTCTCTTCCCCATTGGTGTGAGATCTCATAATAGTGGATGTGAACGAAACATTCCTTATGAGAGTGGAAACTTTTCCCTAGTATGACGCGTTTTAAAACCTTGAGGGGTGTCGAAAGAGGACAATACTTGTTCCTTTCCCTTACATGGCCACACACTCTTAGAGACACTGATTTTTAGAGGTGTTGAGGTGTTTTGTTATAGCTCAAGCTGATACGGTTTTATTTGGGTTTTCCATTATGAGCTTCCCCTCAAGGTTTTTAAACACGTTCGTTAGGAAAAGATTCCACACATTTGTAAGAAATGTTTCATTTCTCTCTTCAACCGATGTGGGATTTCACAGTAATGGAACGAAACATTCTTTATAAGAATGTGGAAACTTTTTCCTAATAGATACGTTTCAAAATCTTAATGAGAAGTCTGAAAGAAAAGTTGAAAGAAGACAATATTTACTAAGGAGTGAGCTTGAGTGTGAGGTAGTACCGTTTATGATTTTCATAATAATTTTCAAAGTGGTGTCAAATTGCAGGATATGTTTGTCGGAGGAACCGACACGACAGCAACAGGCTTGGAATGGGCAATGGCTGAGCTGATGAGAAACCCAACAGCCATGAAAAAGGTTCAAGAAGAGGTGAGGACAATAACGGGAAAGAAACCAAAGATCGAAGCGGAAGACATTCAAAAGATGAAGTACATGCAGTGTGTTATAAAAGAGTCTCTAAGACTCCACCCTCCAGTTCCTCTATTGGTGCCCCGACAAACAATGGGCACTGTGAACCTTGAAGGCTACGAAATTCCACCAAAAACCAGCGTTTGGGTCAATGCTTGGGCAATTCAAAGAGACCCCAAAAGCTGGGAAAACCCAAATGAGTTCATCCCAGAGAGATTCATGGACCCAAACTCGGTTGATTTCAAAGGCCAAGACTTTGAGTTCATTCCATTTGGGAGTGGAAGAAGGAAGTGCATTGGAATGTCGTTTGGGTTGGCTGCTTTTGAATCTGTATTGGCTAATCTTCTTTATTGGTTTGATTGGAAGCTGCCGGCCGGGGAGCCATTGGATATGACTGAAGAACATGGGCTCTCAGTGTTCATGAAACATCCTCTCACTCTTGTCCCAATTCCACGCTCTGTGTAATATTTGGCTATTTCGTTAATGGTTATGAGTGAGTGAGTGAGTGAGTGAGTACCAATAATAATGTGTATGTGAAGTTCTGTAAGGACTACCATATGGTTTGCTTATGAAGTTGCGGTGTAAAATATTTTTAGGAAGGTTGGTCTCTTACCTGCACGTGGAAATAATTATTGGTCGCTTACTTGTTAATTCAGAGATAAATAAATGAACACAGATATGTAATTACTACGATTATTGGTCAGCCTCACGATTTCAAAACATATCTATTATGGACTATTAGGGAGAGGTTTACACCTCCTTATAAGAAATGTTTCGTTCTCTTCTTCAACCAAGGTGAGATTCCACAATCCACCCCTTTAAGTGCTAGTGTTCTCACTGACACAGCTTAAGGTTTCCACACTTTTATAAGGAGTGTTTCGTTCCCCTCTCTAATGGATGTGGGAACTCACAATCCACCTCCATTGGGAGCTAGTGTCCTTGCTGGCACAATGCCCGATGTCTAGCTCTAATGATATTTGTAAAAGTCCAAGCTCACTGCTAGTAAATATAGTCTTCTTTGAACTTTCCTTCTTAGACTTTCTCTTACTGCTTTTAAAAGGCGTCTACATATTCATCCTTTATCGACGTGAGATCTCACAAGTATGCACAATTTGTTGAAAGTGCCTTATCTCAAATCAAGCAAGAAGAAACAACATGCTACCGTTCCAAACCTTATCACACCAGCCATTAGTTGAAAATTCCTAGCAAAATACCATAAACTAGCCACATCGAATGTAATTTACGCTTAAAACAAGAAAAATCAGGTAAACTGAACTTAAAAATCAAGCTAGGAGAAAAATCTAGAAGGGACATCAAAGGGAAGCACAACCGACAAACTAGAAGGAGACATCAAACTTATCACTGGTCGGCTCTTAATGCTGAAGTCCAAGTCGAAGCTGGATTAAAGGATCTTAAACTTGGATAAACATTTGTTGCAGGAAGACGAAGCTGGAAGAATACAGAAGAATGGATCGAACCTCAAACTTTCAACAACATTGGAAGAGGCAACAATTTCAATATGGAGAAGCCATTCACATCAATCCCATCTCTATTTCTTTTTGTCTTTTCTTCTTCTTCCTCCTCCTCCTCCTTTTACTTAAGCTGTTCAGAGGCAAAAAACAAAGCATCAATTTACCTCCTTCACCACCCAAACTGCCAATCATCGGCAACCTTCACCAATTAGGAACCTTGCCGCACCAATCTTTGGCGTCTCTTTCGAAGAAACATGGGCCTCTCATGCTCCTAAAGCTAGGCCAGACCCCAACTCTGGTGGTTTCATCAGCAAAAATGGCTAGAGAAGTAATGAAGACCCATGACCTCAAATTCTCCAACAGACCCAAAACTACAGCCACTAATCTCTTGTTCTACGGATGCCAAGACATGGGTTTTGCCCCATATGGTGCGTACTGGAGACGAGCCAGAAAAATGTGCGTTCTTGAGCTTTTTAGCTTCAAAAGAGTGGAGTCCTTTCAGTATATCAGAGATGAAGAAGTCGGTGTTCTTATCAGTAGGATTCATAAAGCTTGTGCTGGCGGTGAGGTTGTGAATCTTAGCAAGTTATTCCTTCAAATCTCAAACAATGTAGTGTCCAGATGCGTTATGGGAAAGAAGTTTGAGGATGAAAATGGGAACAATAGATTTCGAGACGTATCAAGAAGGGTAATCGAGCTACTCTCAGCGTTTTGTGTGGCAGATTTCTTCCCTGCTTTCGGATGGGTTGATGTAGTTAGAGGGTTCATTGGGGAACTGAAAACAATTTCTAAAACAATGGATGAATTCTTGGATAGGGTAATTGAAGAGCACAAGACAGAGTTAAGAACCGGTAAACCTGATGATAAAAGGGATTTCTTGGATATTATGCTGCAGCTCAACCAAGATATCATGCTCGACTATCATTTCACTCCGGACAACCTCAAAGCCATATTACAGGTTTCTCTGTCTCTGTTTCTCTCTTAGTTACTTTTACTCTTTCGACTAGCAATTGAAAATAGGATGAACATACCGAAATTCAATATGGCTGTCGGAATTGTAGGACATGTTCGCCGGTGGGAGTGACACATCTGCAACAGCATTGGAATGGGCAATGGCAGAGCTGATTAGAAACCCAAACACCTTGAAGAAAGTTCAAGAAGAGATCAGAACAATAGTTGGAAAGAAGCCAAAAATTGAAATGTTGAAATATCATCACTAGCCCAATAGAGTCAAGCCCAATAATTGTACTAGCCCAATAGAGTCAAGCCTAATTGTACGAGCCCAGTATATTTATTTTAGTAGAGATTTTAGGAGAAAGAGATGTAGATATTTTAGGAGAAAGATTCAATTTGTTAGGTCTAGATTCAAATCGGTTAGGTCTAGATTTAGATTGGTTAAATATAGATTGTTTACTCTTAGTATAAATACCCCCACCCTACCTAGGTTATTCATCTAAGAAATCTAAAAACAATAAAAAGCAGAAGTATTCTACAGAGTGTCTTGTATTCTCTTCTCGATTGGTCTTAATAAAGAGAGCGAGTGTTTCCCACAGTGAGTTGTGTTCAACATTTGGTATCAGAGCGAGGTTAGTGTAGGTTATCTGATCTCTTGGAATCCTTAGTATGCTCTGTGGTTGCAGCTCTGCCTGATCTTCCACATCAGAAACGATTTCTTGAGATTAGTGGTGAGTGAGTTTCTTTTGTGTCGTGAGAAGTCTGTGACTCTGCAAGTCTTGTGTCAAAAGAACTTGTTTGGTATTACTGAGGTATGGCCAACACGATGAGTGATTTCCAAATCGTTGGAGGAATTAAGAAACTCAACAACAACAACTACAACACGTGGGCAACATGCATGATGTCCTATTTACAAGGACAGGATCTTTGGGAGATCGTTGGCGGGTGTGAAACTACGCCGCCAGAGGAGGATTCTAACGACGCCTTGCGCAAATGGAGAATCAAAGCAGGCAAAGCAATGTTTGCCTTGAAGACCACCATCGGAGAAGAGATGTTAGAACATATTTGGGATGACAAGACACCGAAAGAAGCATGGGACACATTCGTGATGTTGTTCTCAAAGAAGAATGATACGAGACTACAACTTCTGGAGAATGAGTTGTTGTCAATTTCACAACGTGATATGACGATTGCTCAGTACTTCCACAAGGTCAAATCGATCTGTCGGGAGATTACTGAACTAGACCCAAAGTCCGCCATTGTAGAATCTCGAATGAAGAGGATTATAATCCACGGATTGCGACCAGAATATCGAAGCTTCATTGCTGCTGTACAAGGATGGCCCACTCAACCATCACTGGTAGAGTTCGAAAATTTGTTAGCCAGCCAAGAAGCCATGGCTAAACAAATGGGAGGCTTCACGTTGAAGGGTGAAGAAGCACTCTACACGAGTGAAAGTCAGAGCAATAATAGGCCGTCTACCAGACGTGGATACAATGGTGACAAAAGAAGAAGCCACCAAGGGATTGCACAACCTGAGAGAGCTCAGAAGAACGACAACAAGAGTTTTCAAAGAACGAGATTTGGTGGTATTTGTTATAACTGCGGGAAAAAGGGCCATATGTCTAGAGATTGTTGGTCCAGGAAAAAGACCATTGAAAACAATGTGGCAATATCCAAAAAGAAGATAGAAGATGAATGGGATGCAGAGGTACTATGTCCCATAGAAGAAGACGAGCTAGCACTCATGGCGACAATGGAAGACCATATCAACTATGAGAATGACTGGATCGTTGATTCAGGATGTTCAAATCACATGACTGGCGATCAGAGAAAATTGCAAGACAAGAAAGAGTACAAAGGAAGTCGTATGGTACGTACAGCAAATAACACACAGTTATCAATTGCTCAAATCGGCAATACGACAATCATGCCTGGCAATAAGTCTGATACAGTGTCGCTACATAATGTTTATCATGTACCGGGTATAAAGAAGAACTTGTTGTCAGTGTCACAACTAACAACATCAGGAAGCTATGTCTTGTTTGGGCCAGAAGATGTAAAAGTTTATCAAGATGTTAAGATAATAGGAAAGCCGACGATAGAAGGACGAAGAGTGGAGTCTGTCTACGTTCTATCTGCAGAGTCTGCCTATGTTGACAAGACCCGAAAGAATGAGACGACAGATCTATGGCATGCAAGATTGGGACATATTAGCTACCATAAGTTGAAGCTGATTATGGAGAAATCTATGCTCAAAGGTCTACCACAACTGGAAGTCAAAACAGACGTTGTCTGCGCTGGATGTCAGTATGGTAAAGCTCATCAATTACCATACAAAGAGTCAAGTTTCAAAGCAAAGAAACCATTAGAGTTAGTTCACTCTGATTTGTTCGGCCCAGTCAAACAAGCATCGATCAGCGGAATGCGGTATATGGTGACATTTATTGACGACTACTCAAGATATGTGTGGATTTTCTTTATGAAAGAAAAGTCTGACACGTTCTCAAAGTTTCAAGAATTCAAGATGATGGTCGAAGGAGAAGTAGGAGCGAAGATTCGTTGTCTACGTTCAGACAATGGCGGAGAATACACGTCAGATGAGTTCGATCAATATTTACACGAGTGTGGGATACGACGTCAATTTACATGTGCCAACACGCCACAACAAAATGGTGTAGCAGAAAGAAAGAATCGACACCTTGCAGAAACCTGTCGAAGCATGTTACACGCAAAGAACGTTCCAGGAAGATTTTGGGCTGAAGCTATGCGAACTGCTGCCCATGTGATCAACAAGCTTCCTCAACCAAAGCTAGGGTTCGTCTCACCATTTGAGATACTATGGGATATGAAACCTACAATTAGTTACTTCCGAGTATTTGGCTGTGTTTGCTATGTATTTGTGCCTGACCATCTACGTAGCAAGTTTGACAAGAAAGCAGTCAAGTGTGTATTTGTTGGATACGACAATCAAAGAAAAGGATGGAGGTGCTGTGATCCAACAAGTGGAAAATACTATACATCAAGAGATGTAGTTTTTGATGAAGCATCTACATGGTGGTCCTCGGAGAAGAAAGTCTTATCAGATTCAAACATTGAAGAAATTCTACAACAGAAGCTGGGGGAGCAAACTACACAAATTCAATCAAATTTCGATGCATCTGAAAATCCAAGCGACATTGATATTGACAAGCAGGAGGTGACTCAATCAAGCGAATCTGATAAAAATGAAACAACACATCAACAACTTAGGCGATCAAATAGAATCCGAAGGCCAAATCCTAAGTATGCAAATGCAGCTATTGTAGAAGATAGAGTTTACGAACCAGAGACATATGAAGAAGCATCACAAAACTCGGTTTGGCAGAAAGCGATGGAGGAAGAAATTATAGCCTTGGAGCATAATCAAACTTGGGAACTAGTGCCAAGACTAGGAGATATCAAACCCGTCTCTTGCAAGTGGGTCTATAAAATAAAGCGTCGACCGGATGGATCAATCGAGAGATACAAGGCTCGACTCGTGGCTCGAGGATTTTCTCAACAATATGGACTAGATTATGATGAAACATTCAGTCCAGTGGCAAAGATTACTACCGTACGAGTTCTGCTAGCACTCGCAGCAAGTAAAGATTGGAAACTGTGGCAAATGGATGTGAAGAATGCCTTCTTGCACGGAGAGCTAGACAGGGAGATTTATATGAACCAACCAAAGGGATTTGAGAGTGCAGCTAATCCTAATTATGTATGCAAGCTTAGAAAAGCTCTTTATGGACTGAAACAAGCACCGAGAGCTTGGTATGGTAAGATTGCTGAATTTCTTACCCAAAGTGGTTATTCAGTTGCGCATGCAGACTCAAGCCTATTCATCAAAGAAAGAGAAGGAAATTTGACAATTGTGTTGGTCTACGTGGACGATTTGATTATCACCGGGGACGATGAAAGAGAAATTTATCAAACAAGAGAAAATTTATCAATACGCTTTCAGATGAAAGAGCTAGGAGAGCTTAAACACTTCTTAGGCCTAGAAGTTGATCGCACAGATGAAGGACTGTTTCTCTGCCAACAAAAGTATACCAGAGACATGCTTCAGAAGTTCAACATGTTAGAGTGCAAGCAAGTTTCAACACCGATGGAGATAAATGCCAAGATTTGTGCACATGAAGGCAAAGAGTTGAACGATGAAACAACGTACCGACAACTAGTAGGTAGTCTTATCTACCTAACTTTAACTCGACCTGATATCTCGTATGCAGTTGGGGTTATGAGTCGATACATGCAAAGTCCAAAGAAGCCTCATCTGGATGCAGCTCGACGGATCTTGAGATATATCAAAGGTACAATCGACTATGGTCTTTTGTACAAAAGAAGCAAAGACTGCAAGCTAGTTGGATACTGTGATGCTGACTATGCAGGAGACCACGATACTCGGAGGTCAACCACTGGGTATGTGTTCAAGTTTGGTTCGGGAACAATTTCTTGGTGTAGCAAGAGACAACCAACAGTATCATTATCAACTACAGAAGCAGAGTATAGAGCAGCGGCTGGAGCAGCCCAGGAAAGTACATGGCTAAAACTCTTGATGGAAGATTTGCACCAGAAAATTGACTATCCAATATCACTTCTTTGCGACAACCAATCTGCGATTCGCCTTGCAGAAAATCCAGTGTTTCATGCTAGAACAAAGCATGTGGAGGTGCACTACCATTTCATTAGAGAGAAGGTCCTAAAGGAAGAAATTGAGATGCAGCAGATCAAGACAGATGACCAAGTGGCAGACTTGTTTACAAAAGGGTTGAATACTAGCAAACATGAGAGCTTTCGCTGTCAGCTCAACATGATGCAGCGAATGAGGACTAGTGCTGAGGGGGAGTGTTGAAATATCATCACTAGCCCAATAGAGTCAAGCCCAATAATTGTACTAGCCCAATAGAGTCAAGCCTAATTGTACGAGCCCAGTATATTTATTTTAGTAGAGATTTTAGGAGAAAGAGATGTAGATATTTTAGGAGAAAGATTCAATTTGTTAGGTCTAGATTCAAATCGGTTAGGTCTAGATTTAGATTGGTTAAATATAGATTGTTTACTCTTAGTATAAATACCCCCACCCTACCTAGGTTATTCATCTAAGAAATCTAAAAACAATAAAAAGCAGAAGTATTCTACAGAGTGTCTTGTATTCTCTTCTCGATTGGTCTTAATAAAGAGAGCGAGTGTTTCCCACAGTGAGTTGTGTTCAACATGAAATGCATGACATTAGCAAAATGGAGTACATGAAATGTGTGATAAAAGAATCTCTAAGACTACACCCACCAATTCCTCTGCTTGTGCCACGAGAAACATCAGACGTCGTCGACATCGAAGGCTACCATGTGGCATCAGGAACCAGTGTCTTCGTGAATGCTTGGGCAATCCAAAGAGACCCCACAATCTGGGAAAGGCCAAACGAGTTCATCCCAGAGAGATTCATGGAGAAAAATTGTGCTGACTTCAAAGGCTTAGATTTTCAGTTCATACCATTTGGAAGTGGAAGAAGGAAGTGCCCTGGATTGTCGTTTGCGCTTGCTTCTTTTGAATGTGTGTTGGCCAACCTTCTCTATTGGTTTGATTGGAAGTTGCCTGAGGACATGGCGGGAGAATTGTTGGACATGAGTGAACTCCATGGAATCACTGTTCGCAAGAAGATTCCTCTCCATCTCACCCCATTACCATTGTAGTCTAATGGAATATCGTTTGCAATTGCTTCCTTTCAACAAATCTTCTCTACTGGTTCGCCTGGAAGCTTCCTGACATCTCTGTGTTGGACGTTGAAGAAGAAAATGGACTCCTGTTTGCAAGAAACCCCCCCGCATCTCAAGTTAGTACCATATAACTAGTAAAATAAAGTAAATTCTAACGAGGGATTGAAATATCTAGTCGGATAGGTTAAGTCCAATACATTATATATATATTCTTTTCCATATTGGGAGAATAAATTTAGATACTCTAAGAATAGATTACTCTACATCGTACCCTAAGTTTTATCACAAGAAATACCAATCAATCTTGCGAGTGTTTCTTATAAAAAGTTGTGTTCAACAATCTAGTACTAGAGTTAAACACCGAGCAGTGTGTCAACGAGGATACTGGACCCCAAGAGGTAGATTGTAAGATCCCACATCGGTTGAAAAGGAGAATAAAACATTTCTTATAAGGGTGCAAAAACCTTTTCCTAACCGACGCGTTTTAAAAACATAAAGCTAACCGTAACACATAACGAACTAAAATGGCCAATATTCTCCCAACCGTGACTTAACTTAAATCACACAAATAAAAGATTTTGTGTTCCCACCGCTTTGCTTAGTTGATATTCTCAATAGATTACACTACAAGGAACAGCTAGCACTCCGCACGTCCAAACCGACACTGACTGATTATTTAAATCGAGGGGTGTGACACATTTTGTAATATTTAAATCGTAGAATGAAGATTTAATAATATAAATGACCCACAACGCATATTCCAATATGGGTAATTATTTTATTCTTCTGGGTTTGTAGGGTTGAACTTGCTAAATGTTTCTGGAAACATGGGCAGGATAATATATGCTTAACGAATCCATAAAAGAAGATGGATCTAAGATCACAATTAGATCAGCAGAGGCAGGGTCAACAACTTGACAATCATATGGATCAGTTCAATCTTTTGAATTGCTCTCTATTTTTCCTACTGTTCTTCATTTTTCTCAAGTTGTTAAGAGTAAAAAAAGTGAACTTACCTCCATCACCACCGAAGCTACCAATACTTGGAAACCTTCATCAGCTGGGCAGGTATCCCCATCGATCGCTGCAAGAACTCTCCAAAAAGTATGGTCCTCTCGTGTTTCTGCGACTGGGATTGATTCCAACTCTTGTGGTTTCCTCAGCTGATATTGTCAGAGAGATCTTTAAGAATCATGATATCAGTTTTTCTAACAGGCCCAAATCAACCGCTGCAAATTTGTTCTTCTATGGATACAAAGATGTGGGGTTTTCTCCATATGGGGAATACTGGAGAGGATTAAAAAAGATTTGCACTCTTGAACTTCTAAGTCAGAGAAGAATACATGAATTTCAGTATGTGAGGGAAGAAGAAGTTGAAATCTTGGTGAATAAGGTACATAAAGCAAGTTCTTCAGGTTTATCTGTAAATCTTAGTGAGTTGATTACCTCAACCTCAAACAACATAGTTTCAAGATGCATATTTGGAGAGAAATTTGAAGATGAAAATGGAAAGAGCAGATTTGGTGAGCTAACAAGAAGGATGGCTAAGTTAGTCGTGGCTTTTAGTGTGGGAGATTTTTACCCTGCTTTTGGATGGATCGACAATATCACAGGCTTAATTGGGCAATTGAAAGAAACATCTCGAGCTCTAGATACTTTTCTTGAACAGTTGATTGAAGAACACAAGACAAAGAAGAGGGACGATTTTCAAGGCGACAGAGAAGATTTTGTGGATATTCTTCTTCAAGTTCAGCAGAAGGATGATCTCGGTTTCGAATTCACTCGAGAAAGTTTAAAATCAGTGTTAGAGGTCTTTTTCTTTCCTACACGCAAACAAACAACTGACACAGACATTTTATCAAACAGTTAGTGTTCATTCTAGCTCTATTATTGTTTCAGGATATGTTCATAGCTGGAACGGATACGACGGCATCAGTATTGGAATGGGCGATTGCAGAGCTAGCAAGAAATCCAACAGTAATGAAGAAAGCACAACAAGAAATCAGAGAAGTGGTGGGCAAAAAATTAAAGATAGATAGCGATGATATCGTTAAAATGGAATACCTTAGAAGTGTTATCAAAGAATCACTTAGGGTTCATCCACCTGCTCCTCTGTTATTACCTCGAGAAACATCTGAAATGGTGAAGCTGGGAGGTTACTGTATTCCATCAAAAACCAGAGTGTTCTTCAATGTTTGGGCGATTCAAAGGGACCCAAAAATCTGGGAGAATCCAGAGGAGTTCATCCCAGAGAGATTTATGAACAACCCAGTTGATTTCAAAGGACAAGGGTGCCATTTCCTCCCATTTGGTGGCGGGAGAAGAATCTGTCCAGGGATGAATTTCGCTTTTGCATCGATCGAATATGTGTTGGCTAACCTTCTACACTCCTTTGATTGGAAGCTGCCTGATGACAGTATGATGGCTCAAGACGTGGACATGAGTGAAGATATGGGGCTCGCTCTCATCAAGAAGCATCCCCTTGTTCTTAAGCCAGTAACATGTTCAACTTAATCTACAATTTGTGTGATGTTGCACGCTAATCACTGTAATCTGGTCTCTGATTGTGTTTTATTTTGTTAATCCTGTTCCTTTGTAGGCTACCGGCTCAAGATCATCGAACAAACTGTTCCCCCGTTTTTATCCAATCTCCTTCCTTTGTCACAAAAATTAATAACAAATCATCATAGTATGATGATACATTTGAGTCTCATAGAGCATATGAACTCGTGATCGAAGCAACGAGTTTACCAATTCAATCAAATTTTTATGATTAAAAAAAGATTTTAATTAATTTTTTAGAAAGGACTTTCCTTCCCGAGGCCTACCAGACATGGGAAGGCCACGACAGAATCGTGACAGAAGACGACGGAAAGCCAGAGGGCGGCTGATGCCAATGGCGGTGGGCCAATGTTCCATTTATGATAGCAATTCGTTTCGCTTTTTTCAGCCATCGCTTTCATTCTCCATTTTCATGGCGGCTGTTTCTCTTCTCTATTGAGCCGTTTTTCTAGATTCCGCCTTCCCTTCAACTTCGCAGCCGTTCCCTGTTAATCCATACACTTCCTCGTTCTCTATATCTCTGTTCATCATTCGCACGATTAGCTTCAAATAACAAGTTCAATTCTGAATATTACAGATTAAATCGGCTAAGAAAACCAGTAGCAGCTATTATCATCATCTACGTATTGCGATTTCTACCTTGCATTTAATTGATTGGCTCTGCTCGCTTCGCCTCTCCCTCTCTGTCCTTATCAGATTTTGCTTGCGCTGCGTTCGAGGATCACGCTTTAATGCCCACTACTAATTGACTGCTTGCCCTTTGTTCCTCTCTCATTCTACCTTCTTTGCATTTCGCGACCGTCTTGTTAGTTCCCTTCTTGCAATGGAGTTCTCTGCGATTATGGCAAGTGGAGCTACCTCTTCTTCTGTTGTCTCTCTTTGCTGGAAACCTAATTCTAAGTGTACCGATTTTAAGTTTCTAGCTCAGAAGTCTCCCATATCGTTATTCGAGACCTTTAAATCAGTTCAATCGCCTCAACTTGATACCAATCCACTGAAATCCAGTACCCGAAGCATCAACTCTGGATTCTCATGCTCTGCTGCGACCCTATCTCCCTCGTCTACCACTGAGCTCGTCCCTTTTAAGCTACAGCGCCTGATTGAGGAATTCGAGTCCATATCCGAGCCGATTGATAGAGTGAAGCGGTTGTTACGGTATGCGACTCTTCTCCCTCCTTTAGATGCCGCAGCGAAACATGACTCGAATCGGGTCATGGGGTGTACGGCGCAGGTGTGGTTGGAGGTGCGGATTGATCAAGAGGGCAAGATGAGGTTCGCTGCAGATAGTGATTCAGAGATCTCTAAAGGGTTTTGCTCATGTTTAGTTTCGGTGCTTGATGGTGCGATGCCTGAGGATGTTCTGAAATTGAAGACGGACGATTTGGCTGCTCTGAATGTGGGATTGCCGGGTGGAGAGCGATCGAGAGTAAATACTTGGTACAATGTTTTGATTAGTATGCAAAAGAGGACTAAGGCTTTGCTTGCGGAGCTTGAAGGGAAGTCTCCATTTGAGCCGTTTCCATCTCTGGTTGTGACTGCTGATGGAGTTCATGCAAAAGGAAGCTATGCCGAAGCTCAGGTAACTGATGACACATTTGATATAAATTATGGATTATGTATTAACTATTGAAGATAAACACTGTTCATGTACAAAAAAAGCTTGAAATTGGTTTCTGGTAGCAGTACGTTTATTCAGTTCCTTTTCCAGGCAAGATATTTGTTCCCAAATGATTTTACAGTGAAAGAACTTGTCAAAGTGCTAAGGGAGAAAAAGATTGGCGTTGTTGCACACTTTTACATGGATCCTGAAGTCCAAGGGGTGTTAACTGCCGCCCAGAAGGAATGGTCTCACATTTATATATCTGATTCATTGGTAATGGCAGATATGGCTGTCAAGATGGCTAAAGATGGATGCCAATTTGTAACAGTACTTGGTGTAGATTTCATGTCGGAAAATGTTCGTGCGATTCTTGATCAAGCTGGCTTTGGAGAGGTGCGTCTTCCTTCTCTCAAATTTCTTCTTAACTTTTCATTGTTATCTATCGATACAAGATGAACTGATAGTGAAAGTAGTCAGAATGTTAAACAGCTCACGCACTTTTCAAAACGTGCCTGCTAAGGAGAGTTTCACACTCTTTTAAAGAATGTTTCGTTCTCCTTCCCAATCGACGTGGGATCTCATAATCCACCCCTCTTCGGGTCTATAACAGCCCAAGCCCACCGCTAGCAGATATTGTCCTCTTCGGGCTTCCCCTCAAGGTTTTCAAAACGCGTTTGCTAGAGAGAGGTTTCTACACCTTTATAAAATGCTATGTTCTCCTCCTCAACTCATGTAAGGCTTCACAATCCACCCCCATAGCCAAACTCTAACACTAGCAAATATTGTCCTATTTGGGCTTTTCCTTTCGAGCTTCCCCTCGAGGTTTTCAAAACGCGTCTGCTTGGGAGAGGTTTCCACACCCTTATAAAAAATGTTTTGTTCTCCTCCCCAACCAATATAGGATCTCACAATCCACTCCCTTCGAGTCTATAATAGCCCAAGCCCACAACTAGATATTGTCCTCTTTGGGCTTTCCCTTTCGGGATTCCCCTCAAGATTTTTAAAACGCGTCTACTAGGGAGAAGTTTCCATACCTTTAGAAAGAATACTTCGACTCTCCTCCCCAACCAACGTGGGATCTCACAGTAACTCTTTCAAAACCCTACGTCCTTCCCATGCTCTATGATTCGTTTTTATGAACTATTAAAGCCTTTGTAATAGTCTAGTGTCATCTCTAATTCAAGAATTTTCTCTGTAAGAAGTTGGGTTCTAACCTTCCAGCGTATGGATGAAACTTGTTCACTTTACATCATGATACATTTTTTGGTCTTCTCTAGATTAATTTAGATGTTGCTGCCCAGCATTTAATGGTGGTGGAACTATTGAGGTATCGATAATGGTTCCATATATGTAGGTAGGTGTGTACAGGATGTCTGATGAACGAATCGGTTGTTCTTTGGCCGAAGCTGCAGCTACTCCTTCCTATATGAATTATCTTGAAATGGCTTCAAAGGACTCTCCCTCCCTGCATGTTATCTACATAAATACATCATTAGAAACGAAAGCCTATGCTCATGAGCTTGTGCCAACAATTACCTGTACATCTTCTAATGTCGTGCAAACAATTTTGCAGGTAGAAAATATTCTCTCATTTGCATCCGTTCTGATACTTGTTAATCTTTTCGGTGCTAGTAGGAATCAACTTCAAAATACACTTGGAGTCTGCCTTACTGCTTAATGTTCATCCTTTCTTTGCTTTGTTCAGGCTTTTGCTCAAGTACCTGAGTTAAATGTTTGGTATGGGCCCGATTCCTACATGGGTGCAAATATTTTAGAACTGTTGCAGCAGATGACCCAGATGACAGATGAAGCAATTGCAATGGTTCATCCAAAACATAATAGGAACTCAATTAGATCATTGCTCCCTCGTCTGCACTATTACCAGGTTTTTTGGAACTCTGTTTTTTTCCTCTATTTTCGCCCTCTCTTAATTATAAGCTATGGTTGAGCATGTATTGATAAAGCTTGTGCCTCGAGTGTTATGTTAGTTTTGATATGTTCGCAAATTTTGGCACCTTCTTTTGATATGCTCAAGCCACCACTAGCTGATATTGTCCTCTTTGGGCTTTCTCTCAAGGTTTTTAAAATGTATATGCTAGAGAGCAGTTTCTACACCCGTATAAGGAATAGTTTGTTCTCCTCTCCAACTGATGTGGGATCTTGCAATTCACCCCCCTTCGAGGCCTAACGTCCTCGCTGTCACACCACCCAATGTCCACCCCTTCAGGACTTAGCGTCCTCGCTGACACATTGCCTAGTGTCTAACTCTGATACCATTTGTAAGAGCCCAAGTCTACCACTAGTATATATTGTCTCTTTGGGCTTTCTCTCTCGAGCTTCTCTCCTCAAGGTTTTTAGAACGCGTCTGCTAGGAAGAGATTTCTACACCTTTATAAGAAATGTTTCGTTTCCCTCTTCAATCGAGGTGAGATTTCACAATCCACCTCTCTTCGGGGCCCAACATCTTCGTTGGCACACCACCAGGTGTGTTGGATTGTGAGATCCCACGTCGATTGGAGAGAGGAATGAAACATTCCTTATAAGAGTGTAGAAACCTCTCCCTAGTAGACGCGTTCTAAAAACTTTGAGGGGAAACCCAAAAGGGAAAGCCCAAAGAGGGCAATATCTGTTAACGGTTAGCTTGAGTTGTTATATTTTGTATCGTAGATTGTGTTGATTTCCGCACCATCACTGACCTATTTGACCTCTAGATTACTGTTATTATTTGATATAATAGATGTCTTCTAATTTCAGGAAGGTACGTGCATTGTACACCATCTTTTCGGGCATGAAGTTGTGGAGAAGATAAACGAAATGTATTGTGATGCATTCCTTACTGCTCACTTCGAAGTCCCTGGAGAAATGTTTTCTTTAGCGATGGAAGCAAAAAGAAGAGGAATGGGAATTGTCGGTTCCACCCAGAATATATTGGATTTCATAAAACAAAGGGTGCAAGAAGCTTTGGACAGAAATGTCAATGAACATCTACAATTCGTGTTGGGAACAGAATCCG